TGCGCCGTTGCTCCGAGTTCCCAAGAGTTCCATTAGGCAGACCATGGTCCTGTGGCATTTAGCTACTGCAGTGTCAAACTCATATCGCATTATTTCATTCGCTAAAACTGCCTCGCCGTCATTACGAACGATGTACTTCAGGAGCTAGTACTCCACATATGTTACTGCATAAACATCAACATCTGTTCGAGCGCCGCGGCGTTTCAGAAAACGCATAACTTCTCCAAGTGCAATATGCCGTAAAACCTGGTCTTTGAGGAGTTATTCATTATGACATGTTCCGTAATATGAAGAGTATTGCCAGCCAATACCACAACTCTCTGGAGCGAATTATCGAAGACGATACCAATGAAGAAGTGCGCACGCACTGGCACAAAGGAGTCTAGTTTCATTTTTAAAGCCAAAAAATATCTAGCAAAATAACAATTCTCACATTCCTACTAAATAAACAAGCCATGTTCTCACTGCCTCATTCTAGGCCACAATCGACTGCATTATACTGTACCTGTCACAGAGCCCTGAAATATCGGATAACGACCGACGTTTACTACTATCGACGGCATCAACGAATTATGACAATCTATTTCAGAGTTATGACATAACCACTAATCACGTTGAACCCTGTCAAATAATTTGCTATCTAGTTTTGTTTGGAAAAATCAATCAATAAATTTCGACACCTGCTTATCCTTTCGGACCGTGGAAGCAGACGCGTCAGACACTGCTTCCAACGTTCCTGATCCTGTGCCAGAGTCTGAGCTTCGGCAAAAGACAAATAGAGTCTGGAACAGACTCCTTCCATATATTTGCAGCAGGTTAATCTTGGCCGTCCCCTGGGCCTACTGCCGATCTGCTTTGCAAGAAACAGTTGCTTAGCCATCCTTTTCGAAGACACTCGCAATACAGGCCAAAACCATCGTAGCTGTGACTTCTCAATCTGCACACCAAGGCTCTCTCGGATGTCAGCATTCCGGACTATGTCGAGACGCGTAAGGCCAGCTCCTCTAAGAAAGCCCATTTCAACCCCTTCACAAGCCATTGATGTTTTTCAGTAATGGGCCATGGCTTATGATCGTGGGGATGAAGATCCACTAGAATACCGAGAGCTTAGCCTTCAGACTCAGCTCTGCCTTGGTCATAATATTTCTGACTAATTCACGCACAACATCGCTGGTCATTGCAGTTCGCTGGTTGATCTCTTTCTCAAATTTTTCGTTACCAATAAATACGACCATGAGGTATTTCTACTTCACCTGCTCCACTGCTCTCCGTTAATCTGAAGAGAGCAATGGGCAAGAAAACGAGAAAACAGCAGGTTTTCCAGATTTGAAAAGATGCTGCCCAGAAAAACAGGACAAATTATTTATATGCATTGTAATACAGCGCTTTATTTGGTAATGCCAAGCTCCCCCAGTTTAAAGCAATGTATCGTAAATTCCTAAATGGATCAAGGGAATTCATGAATAAGACAAGTATTGTCCTCATGCAGAACTGAAACCGGCACCTGCAGAATTCGAAGCCGACCTCTTAAACAAGTGTGCCACCACGTGGCCGTCTCAGTAAATACATAGCTGATGTTAATTACTTGACAATAACGGCTATTTATCTGTCATCATGGTGGCATGGGCAAATGCTGTACGATCAGAAATGAAAAGACATCAGATTATACACAACATCAAACCAAAGGAAAGGCAACGATCGGCAGTGATTAGGCTG